TTTAAAAAACTAACATACTAATACCCAAACAAATTCATATTTTAGTAAAATTTATTTATTTTAGAACGATATTAAAATATTAATTACAAATATGTTAAATTGATAATCACTTCTTATCATACATTCCTGATGGTTTCCATTTTTCATTTTCATATAATCTTTTAAATTTTGGTTCAAAATAAGCATCTTGAAGACCTGTTTTAGTTTTTAATATACTTGGATACATTTGAGACTTTTTCAAATCTCGTACATTGTTTTCTACAGACCATACATCATAATTATATACAGTGAAAGGTTTAAATATCATCCATTTAAATAAATTATATTTGTACACACTTGTATTAGGTGGGTTATACTTATCGCCAATCATATATGGCATCTCCGAAAATAAACCTATACGGTCCATGTCGTATTTTCCATGGTTTTTACCTACGTCGTCAAAGATATTATGTGTCGTCATTATAATATATTTTGAATTATTTATATGAGGCTAAACAAAATATTGTGATTAAAATTTTCCAAATCTCGTAGGTAAAGATTCAAATACGTTCGTATTAAAATAGAATTTCTATCGTATATAATATGAACAGCGCTACAATAAAATAACTATAATTGTCACACAAGACAACAAATCAAATTTTGATCTCAGCCATAATTATAATATTATATATTAAACTGTAAGTGGCCAATAACTAAATATAAACACTTTATGCTGATAAATTGTATGCTAGCAGGTAAGTTTATCGAATTAGTAATTAAAATAAATATACATTTTTTATTGGTTATACCTTTAAAAAGTTTATTCAATTTTTGGGTAATTTTAAATTTTTTTCAATATTATTCTTAGTTTTTTGTAATGTATGAAGAACTCGTGGTTAACATGATAAAAACGTAAAAATACATATTAAAAAAAATATTATTATTATACGTACTTAATAGAATTATTATTTAATAATAGAAAGGTAAATAATATGTTTTATGTGACATTATTAACCTAATGAATTTCAGTAGCTCCTATTATATATATTTTATTTAATATAATTTTTAATTTCAATTATTCTAAAAAATAAGTGAAAAAAATATTGTCTTTTAATTTTTGATTTATTAGGATTAAAAAAATGTACATGTGTTTTAATCTAAATCTTTAATTTAATTTTTCTACGTGCAACAATAAACTGCAACTGAACCCAATATAATTTTCAAGTCCTCTTGAATTAATTTAATAATCTTAATTATTATTAGGTATATAAATTTAACAGGTATATAATTAAATTAAAATGTATTTATGAATCTTTTTATAACTTTAAAAAAAATCAYAAACTTAATCGTATAATTAAAATAGCTAGTTGAGATATTTAGTTAAAATTTTTTATTCACATCTTAAAAAACCTACTTTGTATAATAACGTAAAAAATGTTCTTAACATTTGAAATTAAAGTAATAACCAACTCCAACCCTAAGAATAATTATCATTGTATATTACGAGYGACTCAAAAGCAAACTTAAAAATGTAATTTTATTTTTACTGATCTCGAAGAAAGTTACTGGTAGCTTTCAGTAATATTTACAATTATATTTTATATAATATATTGTATTGTTTACTTAAAAAGTTTGGTTATAATTATTTGAAATGGTTTCTTTATTATTTGTATAAACAACAGTTTATACTTACGCATATATATATATATATATTAAGATATATGACTAATATGATGTGGATTCTATATTATTATCCTTGATGTGTATAACATTTTTGGTTTATTTTGTGGGAGTATTTAGGTATTTTCGTAAGTGTTATCAACTAAACATTTTACATGGATATTTAACTTAATTTATTGTGAAATTATATTTTGCATATTTTATAAACTTAATTTTTTTTCACATCAAAGGAAGTTAGCCAAAATTGGTTTTATTATATCTACGAAAAATATGTTTTGTATTCCAGTTTCTTTTTTATGTTTAATTTAAAGCATACAAATTTAAATTAAAATCGATTTAGTAAAAATTGTCTTTTTTTAGTAATGTAAAATTGACATTCAGTGTAAACATAATCGATGATTTTTTACTTAAAATCTCAGTGATCTGGTAAAAATAAAATAAACATTTTTTTTACATTTTTTCCTGCATTTTTATTGTTGCTAAGTATTTTCAATAATTTAATATCGGTCATATAGTTAGCAATAACTTCTTATATTTTATATTTTACCAGTTTTCAGATTACATCAAATCAAATCAACTACATGGATTTAAAAAAATCATTTTAATACAATTTTATTAGCAATCATTTCTTTAAAATCCAAATTATAAGGATTCACCTGAACATTTTAAACTCGTAAACGAAGGTCGGAGTTCAAGCTTATAGAATATAATGTTTAATGTATAAGTAAATTTTTTGGTTATATAGGTACTGTCAAAAATTATTTTAAATATTAATAAATATAAAATATTTCTAGATGTGATTGTATTTTTTTCAAAATATATATGCATTGGACGTAATTAATTATTATTATTTGAAAAACTTCTGATCACAAACTGATGTGAACAGATATTTGTTTCTGATTTATTTTAAGGTTGAGTAGAATGATATAAAAAAATTAGGTTACCGGTAATAAGATTTTTGAAAGTAGAAAAAAACCACTGGGAATCTGATTTTGATTAGATTTTAAGTAGCAGTAGCTTTTCTCATAAAACTCTGACCCAACTCAATTACAATCTGGGGTACCATAAACCTACCCAGGGCTATCTTGTAACTGAAAATAAACCCCTTAGAGGTTATCAGATCTAACCAATGATACATTTCTTATTGACGATGAAGAATAGAAATTAAATATTATGACGTTTAATATTTGTATCATACTTTACCATCTGATTCAGACTATATTTCACTTTAGTTAAATTTTAATTATTCTGTTCATAAATACTCGTATTATGTATAATATGTTTACCTTGAAACTAATTTCTGATAAACCAGATTGCAAACAATAGTATTTTAAACGATATGGAAACGTAAAGTATGTGATACAGATAATATTTTTTTTTATTATAATTAGAAAAAATATAATTTCAATCAATACACAAGTAATTTTAATAAGTGATTTTAATTAGGTACCTACATAGTGACAATATTAAATGAGTTAAGGAGGATACTCAGTAGTGCCACCTAACAAATTACATTAGACGATCACTAGGCTAGGTTCGTTTTAAATCTCCATGGCGGTTTTCAGAGATTGTGCGAAGAGAAAGTAGGCGTATAAGCTGATTTTTGTGATGGGTTAAATTTTAATGAACATTTATGTAGTATGATTTTTGTTAATTGAAAGTACGTGATGATTTTTAAGTCATGGTGAAAATTATTATTTTTGATGAATCATTAAATATATGAGACAGTATATATTATATGGCCACTATTTTATAAGATATTTAAACAATGATCTAACATATCAAGAATTCCTTGACGAAAATAATTTCTGAATTTTTTATGCATTTATTAAGCATTTGATTTATCTTATTTTATATTTGCTAAAATTCTCTAAAAAGGGAAAATGTTAAAACATTATATTTTTAAATAGTAATTTTTAACGTTTATAAATTTTGGTTGTATAGGAAGAACGAGTATATTTTAAACAAGAGCGTTTTGACAAGTTCTTCTGTCTTATATCAAAACTTGAACAAATCAAAATAGGACCTAAGTCCCCAACACCAAACTAAAAATGAACTTTAAAAGTTCAAACGTATTAGAACTATTGCGATTGTAGAAAGTAAAGCAGACATTATCATGATATTTTTATTTTACATCTAAAGCTATAAATAGATTTTACCTGGGAATTATCAAACATAAAATACGTAGCGCCATATTATATACGTTTCTTGTTTCTAGTGTACCTCAGTTCACAAGAAAATTAACATTAGTGTACCTCACTTAGTGAACTAATTCAATCTAGATGGTTTATCTGCATGTGGCAGATTGTATATATCACTTGGCATATTTTTAAACGTGGTTGATCTTGATACTACTCTTTAATCTTTCCCGATATCTCTAGGAACAATCTTTGAATGTTTCATCAAAATCAGATCAATAGTTTTTTTCTTTTTGAGCCTATAAGCTACAACCATAAGACAATTGTCTATTGATTTAACCTGAACATTTGAATAAAAAACAATTATTTGAATATTATTTTTTATTTAAAAAAATTCAATAGCCATGCATGCTAAATAGTTTTGTTTTTATAATCAATGGTGTTTTGGACGAAAAAAGAAGCGTTGTACAAATAACTTTAAATTCTCATAGAATCTATTTACATAACTTTTATTTAAATCGATTCAGTAAGTTCTAAAATAAGTGGGTTCAAACATAAAAAATCTTGAGCAATATAATATTTATTTCACCTGTAGCACTTAATATATAATAAATATTACATTATAATATAATATGATTAACTAAACGTTGAGGAATGGTTGATGTCTGCTTTGTTTATTGGTCTGAACTTAACAATTATTTATTTACCTAAATGATTTTAAAATGAATAACATACATTATAGAGACAAACAGGGCAATAGCCATTATTGTATAAATTAAATTTTATATCTAAAAATGTAATGGACTGTAATTCAGAGCATTTTTATTGTTTGTTAGCTGTAAAAATGTACTGAATAGTCACTTTAAAGTATCACATTTATTGTGATGTTGTGTTAGTATATACTTAAAAATAATGTTAGTATATTATGCTTAAAAAGTCAATATATTTTTATGCGATATTCAATACGTTAATTTTTGTATTATTTTTCTACTACACGTGGTCGTTTCTGCGTTTGTATCATTTGAGTTTAAATTTTATATATCAAAATAAAGCAATGTTGATCAAAGTTTGCATTTTTGATTCGTGGTTGTATTTCAGTACATTAACTTGTATTGCTAATATAGTAATATTGTAATTATTTAATTGTTTCCATTAAGATACCTAAGACTGTACGTTGTGGTGTTCTATAATGTATGCTTCTATATTTACTTTGACAATCATATATGTCTAAAGTTTACTTACTTTACAAAGATTTTAATTGGTTATATTAGCCAGTCCACGATTACCTGAGGATTCTTACTTTTTTTAGCGATCACTCATGATTTACTCATTCATAGGCTTTTTAGATACATACCCATAACTTTATAATATATATCGTATCTGCTCAATTAACTTAAAAAGTGCAAAAGTGTTTAAAAAATCAATTCTAAAGCAAGACAGTGATTTTCAAAAGAAGAATTAAAAAAAAAAAAATTTTTATATTTCTAATTTTTTTCACAAAGTTAATGATATTAAAATGGGTCAATAATTTCCCTGTCAAATTTGGCTGATTCTTTTTATTTTCTTATTTATTATAATATAAATATACTATTTATAAGTCTAAAATATTAAGTTCAACATTTTTATTTGATTTTTATTTATTTATGGTTCATAATTTATTTAT